CCGCAAGAAGCCCTATAAACTGTTTCCCTCTTGGGATTGGCTACTAGGAAGCTCACAGAGTAAAGTACGCATCTAGTGAGTGTACTTAGCCATGTGCCAACCAGGATGTGCCCTAACCCCGCTCTGATCTTCTCTAGCCTGTATGTCCACCTGTGTCAATTTGCCTACCACTGGCCTCAATTTCTTTCTTATCTATTTTAATATGCTGCTTCAAATCCTCTTTAGAAAAAAGGTATGGATTGTTGGTTACTACCTTTTAGCTAAAATCTGAACCCTTATACAAGTACTAGTATAGCTCTGTTCAAAGCCCCTACTGGCACTATCTCATTTAATGCTTTATATACACCTAAGAAATGCATGGCACTGAGCCACAGAAGCCACAGAAATAGCAATGACCAACACTGACCCAATCCATACCATCATGCTGGTACATTTCCAGCCTCCAGGACCACGGCCCTGTATTTGCTTCAACATCAACATGACTGAGGACACAAATAAAACAATATTCTGATACTAGGAATCTTAGAGGGAGGGGGGACATCACAGGAATAAGGCTGTCAGACGACTGCCCCTTCTGCCTTCCCCACACGGCCTTTGGACACTGGTGGTAATGGTGGGAAAGGAAATGGTCCAAGACCTGGTATTCCCCCACCCAAAAAAAACCACACAGTTTCAATAGACTTTAACTTTATATGCATTCTCTTTGCTGTAGAGCCAGGAGGTGACGTTTGGGTTGATTTCCTTATATTACATAAATATTATATTTCTCCAAGCCGGCGGCACTCACTGGCAGAGGCGCTGCCTAACTTGTAATTTTCTCTCGTCCCCAGCACCGCACATCCCATTATCTGTTTAGTCTATCACTGTGATTTCCTTCCCTTCATTACCTGCCACAGCACACACTGCAAGTGACAGCAGAGCAGGGCTGCTGCATGGCGGCCTCCCAGGCTGAAGTGCAAAGGACCACCCATCTCAAATTCCATTCCTGACTTGGCCTCAGTGAACCAAACAGCCAATCTGGTCAAGGCCACAGGATAATGTTAACTTTAACTGTAAGCAGTCGATAAGGGATAAAGAGCAGCATTTCAAATCCCTGTGGGAAAGATGGATTCCTCCATAAATGTTGCCAGGGCAAGAAACCATTTTGGGAGCAAGAAACAAGACTTAAATCTCTGCTTCTGCTATGTATCAAAATAAAATCAAACAAAATAATTTAAATATGTGAAAAGCAGCAATTAAAGCTCTAGGACTATGTGGACAAACACTGATGCCATCTTGGGGCAGCAGAGGCCTTTCTTACCATGAAGCAAAGAACAAGTCCATTAAGGAAATAACTTCTGCACATCAAGGGCCAATCTAACAAAAATAACATCAGGGCAGCAAACAGGTTTTCTAATCAAATCCCAGACCTCCCATGTCTCACCTCGACGACCTGGGCAAATGGCCATCTCTTTGCTTCTCAGTTCCCTCAGCTGAAAATATGGTGCTAATATTGCCGATCACGTGGGACAGGGAGGGGTCGGCAGCAGTTTCCCGGAAGACAGCCACGTTTTCAGTTGTCTGTGGCTGCTCTCATGCCACAATGCAAAGCTGAGCTGTGGTAACAAAGAGCGAGGGGCCTGCACTGCCTAAAATATTTCCCATGTGGCCCTTTACAGGAAGGGTTTACCAACCTGTCTTAGGGGAACATCCAGAAGCTCTTACCCCCCTGAGCCCCACACACACTGCTGTCCCTCTCCAGTTCAGGGGGGTGGCTCTCTGTGGTGAGGCCCCGGGCCTGCCTGACATTCGGCCAATGGCAGGACCACTGGGCAGGACCACTGGCTAGCTGCCAACAGGAGACTGTAGACCAGGCTTTAATAGACAGGGAAATGGCAGTCGAGCAGCTGCTGCCCCAGGCACTGGATCCCTCCACACCTCTCCCGAGATCCCTCAGCCCTCCCTCTAGTCCCTCTGGCTGCCCTGCTCAGCCTTCTTGCCTGGATCTTCCTCCTCCAGAGGCGCTGCACCTACACCCAGGGCTCACCCTGCAGACACCAGAGCTCCAGCCCATGTGCACCACAGCCCTCCACTGGCTCCGCCCCGCTGTCTCCTCCGCTCCTCCCGCTAGTCTCCCACCACATCAATCCCGCTCCCCCTCTCTTGTGCCTTTGCACAGGCTGTTCCCAGCACCTAGGAGGCTTGGCTGCCTCCCCTACTTGGAGCCTCCTTCAAGTTTCAGGTTGGGATCACTTCTGTGACACCTTGGCCCACTGGCTGTGGCAGATATGGGAGCCAGCAGGCCTGTCCTGTCTTATTCATGCCCCTCCTCTGTCCCCAGCAACCTCTAAACCCACCTTCCCCCTGCTGCAGCGAGTGGGACCCAGAGGGGTTAGATGAGTCCAACTAAACCAACCATATAGAGCAGCGGTTCTCAACCTGTGGGTCGCGACCCCTTTGGGGGTCAAACAACCCTTTCACAGGGGTCGCCTAAGACCATCGGAAAACACATATATAATTACATATTGTTTTT